TGGAACACATCTTCTAGTGTGGAAAGAGACACCAAATGAGATAACTAAGAAAAATATACACTGTGTCAAATGGTGATAGGTTTTAAAACAAAAATAAAGCAAGCAGTGCCAAAAGAAGGGTATGGGAGATTCAGTTTTAGATGTGACAGCCAAGCAGGGCCTCAACCAGAAGATGACAGAACAGCGATCTGCAGGAGGCGAGGGAAGGAACCATGCAGCTATCTGAGAAAACAGCCAGTGCAAAAGGCTTGAGGCAGGAGTCTCCCTGGGAGTTGGAGAAGCAGAGAGGAGGCCAGAATGGCTGTGGCACAGTGAGGGAGGGGGAGATGAGTGGAAAGCTAAGGAGGGTGGAAGGCAGATCTTGCAGCCTTCATAAGCTATTGTGAGGCTTTGACTTCTCTGTTTCTCAACTTTTCGTTATGGAGAAGTTCAATCAGGGGTGCCTGGGTGGTTCAGTTTGTTAAGCGTCTGACTTTTGATTTCGGCTCAGGTCGTGATCTTGCAGTAAGTGAGATCGAACCCCGCGTCAGGCTCTGTACTGACAGCGCGGAGCCTGCTTGGGATTCTCCCTCTCCCTTTCTCTCTCTGCCCCTCCTTTGCTCACTCTCTCTCTCTCTCTCTCTCTCTCTCAAGATAAATAAACGTTAAAAAAAAAGAAAAGAAAGAAAAGTTCAAACGCACACAAAAGAGAATAGAACTACAATGATGATGAATGTTCAGCCAATCTTGTTTCACCATACCCTGTTCCCGCCCCTTCCAAACTGAATTTTTTAAAGCAAATTCCAGACATTGCATCATTTCACTCCCCAAATCTTCAACACACACCCCTAAGAGATTTTTAAACATAAATGCAATGTCTTTATCAATACTTAATAAAATGAACATCAATGTCATTGAACACATTGAGAGTCCTGGAAAGAATCTTCTTTCTGCTTTAATAGGATGGCTCTGTGCTGCAAGCAGATGTGGGAGAAAGAGGTGGTGTGAGCAGCAGGGAGCCCAGTGACAAGGGTTTTGATAGCTGAGGGGCTGAGGTTAAGGCTAGGGGTAGCCCTGAGGGAAGTGTTAGGACTGGAAACATCTTGAACCTGGAGCTGGTGAGAGAAAGAGAAGAGCTGGGGATGGCCTGAAGGCATCTGGCCCGAGAGGCATCGCCATTTAGTGAGATGAAGACAGTGCAGGGAAAACAAGGCTGTGAACAAAACCTTCAGATGAATGTGGGTAAGTGTAAGGGAGATGGTGAGGTAGCTGGATATGCAGATTGGGAAGGATGGGCTGAGGATACCAACATGAGAACTGTAACAAGGAGGGGGACCCTGACAGCAAGGGGGTTGGTGGGTCACCTAGTGCAGCACCCAGGGTGAGTGAGGACAGAGAAGAGCCCTGAGCATCCAAATATTTAGAGATAGGGAAGGTAGGGTGGCCCTTCAAGAATACTGAACTACAGGGGCGCCTGGGTGGCGCAGTCGGTTGGGCGTCCGACTTCAGCCAGGTCACGATCTCGCGGTCCGTGAGTTCGAGCCCCGCGTCGGGCTCTGGGCTGATGGCTCAGAGCCTGGAGCCTGTTTCCGATTCTGTGTCTCCCTCTCTCTCTGCCCCTCCCCCGTTCATGCTCTGTCTCTCTCTGTCCCAAAAATAAATAAACGTTGAAAAAAAAAATTTTTTAAATAAAAAAAAAAAAAAGAATACTGAACTACCAAGAAGTGACCCAGGAGCAGCAGAATCCAAAGGTTCCCTCACCTTTCCTTCTTTGATCAGGTGTTTGCACCGGAAGAAGTACCAGTAAGGGGTGTTTTTCCGGCCCCGCCATGGCTTTGGCTCCAGGTCCCTCTCCTCATCTTCGTCAACACTCTGTTCCCTGAGCCGTAGGTTATACAACTGGGCTGTCGATTTTTGGAACATTCTCCTTGAGGAATATTTGTTGGAGAGGGTCCCAAAGCTCTCTTCCTCTTCCTCCTGAGTGGCCATGGGGCCGGGCTGGCTCAGGTCAGAGCTGACGCTGCTCCTGTTCTTCTGGTTCCCCTGGCCAAGGGGCAGTTGAGAGGGGGAGCTGCTGCAGGCTTGTGTCAGCCCCGCAGCCCTCAGCCATTTAGGCCCCTCCCTGCCTCCTGCCCATTTGGCTCTGAGAGGGTCAAGGTGCTGAAGGGCATACAGTCCCACTGGGCGAGGGCCGGAGAAGAGCCGGGCGAATCTCACAAGGTCCATCTCTGGCTTTTCCCCTCTAGGGCCTGGCAAGGTCAGAAAAAGAATGAAGTCTAACTGGTCTTGTAGTCACAAAAGGCAGAAAGAGGACACAGAAGTGAGTACAAGCACAAGCTCTGAGATTAGAAAGCCCAGGTTCAGATTTCAGTTTTGCCAAACCATCATCCACGAGTCTCCCAGCACTGGCTGCTCTGGTCTCAGTCTCCTCCCCTGTAAACTGGGGTCAACTACAGCACTGTAGCAATGATCAAATGAGGCTTCGGATACATGGCCTGTGGCATGGTGCTGGCATAGTAAACACCCGACAGACATAAGCTATTGATATTATCAAGCCATGATTTAAGAGATCGGGGACTGAAGGTTGAGCAGAGTTTGAGTCCTGTGGGACTAGGCCCATTACTTGACCTTCCCGTGCCTAGATATCATCAGCTGCAAGATGCAGATAATCCGAGGTGCCTAGGTGGCTCAGTCAGTTAAGCGTCCAACTTTAGCTCAGGTCATGATCTCACGGTTCGTGAGTTCAAACCCGGCATCTGCTCTGTGCTGACAGCTTGGAGCCTGGAGGCTGCTTAGGATTCTCTGTCTCCCTCTCTCTGCCCTCCCCCACTCACGCTCTCTCTCTCATAAATAAATAAACATTAAAAAAATAAAAAAAATTTAAAAAGTGAGGATAATCCTACCGACCTCACCACGAGGGTAAAGATTAAATGAGGTATTTTTAGCACATTTCATTTAATAGAAATTTTAGAAATCGTAGCTATTATAATGTATTATTAGGAAAAATTTGTCAGCATTCTGGGCCTCTGCACAGGGAAGTTAATTCAAACGTGTCTTTTCTGTAAAATCTGTGGGTAAATGGACTAGGGGTATGTTGTCCAATATAGTGGCCACTGGCCACACGTGGCTACTGAACACTTAAAACATGCATAGTCTGAATGAAGATGTGCTTTAAGTAAAATTACACACCAGATTTCAAAGACTGTGTCCAAAAAAAAAAAAAAAAAAGGTAAAATATATACACGATAATCTTTTGACATGACATTTTGAAATAATTTTGGACATACTGGGCTAAAGAAAATTAACATGAGTTTCCCAATTTTTAAACTTTATAATAACACGAGTACTTGAAAAAAATTTTTTTTTAATTTTTTTTTTAACGTTTATTTATTTTTTTGGGACAGAGAGAGACAGAGCATGAACGGGGGAGGGGCAGAGAGAGAGGGAGACACAGAATCAGAAACAGGCTCCAGGCTCTGAGCCATCAGCCCAGAGCCCAACGCGGGGCTCGAACTCACGGACCGCGAGATCGTGACCTGGCTGAAGTCGGACGCTTAACCGACTGTGCCACCCAGGCGCCCCTAGTACTTGAAAATTTTAAATCACGTATGTGCTCGCACTGTATTTCTATCGGACAGCTAGACATCCTGGTCTGCATACTTGAAACTCTTTAATAAAGAAAAAACACCAGAATAGCCAGCCTGAAAATATTTTAGGATCTAGTTATATTAGAAGGTCACAGTTGGTAAGACTGCAGAAGTGACTGCAGATTGAACAGATTAGTAACTGAGGCTCAGGAAGGGGAGCAACTGGCTGGGGGGTCCTGCCGCAGTACAGTGGAATATCAGGGTAAGACTGGCCAGCTGTGGAACTGGGCTTGGGCTGACTTCCAATCCAGGTCCGAGTAAGATATTGGACAGCCTCTTTTGACCACCACCCTAGTGACATTAGCACAAAGGGCCTTTTCCACGTTGGATGAGGCCTGCAACTCTAACAGAAATATAACATGAGCACATATATAATTTAAAATTTTCAGGTAGCCATATTAAATAAAGTGCTTATATGCATTAAATGAAACACATAGCACTGCAAGAAAAAAAAACCCAATGATATCAAAATAGGTATCAAAACGTTTTGAAAACAAACTCATGCTACATTAGTTTATACGCTGCTTTTGCAACACACTGAATACCAAGATTCTGTCATCCTGTCAAAGCAGTGATGGGCGTAAATGATAGCTTGTAAGTAGTTGCAGATACTCTATGTCCAACCATCATTTACCCTCCTCCCCACTGGAAATCACGACTTAGTTTAGGGCACTGCTAACGTTACTCCGTCACGGAAGGAAATGCTCATTTCACACAGAGAAAATTAAAGGTGTAATTTTCTTCCTCCCCAAGTTCATTAACCTGCCCAAGCTAATAACCCCTGATTTAGGGACGCGCCGCCGCTGGCCACTCTGGGGGATCCGCCCCTCGGCAGACGCTCCCAGGGGCCCTTTGGCCAGCCCGACCACTCCACACCGGCCTTTAGAGCCTCGGTCGTCTCACTAGACGTCCCCCACTCCGACACCGGCGGTGACACTCGCGGCCCCTGTCCTGTCCCGGCCCAAGTACTGGGCTCCAGGAAAGGTCAAATGGGCTCCCACTCGAAAAGTCTGGCCCAGAGAACGCAGCCCGGACTTCCAGCCCCGCGTCACCCCCAGTGCGGCCCCGCGTCACCCCGCCGCGTCGCCCCCACTCGCGTGCCCGCCTCACAGCGCCGCGCACCAGGCCCTCCTTCCCGGCCACCTTCCCGTAGGCACGCGTCTCCGCCGACTTCGCGCAGGCTCAGTCCGCTACGCGAACTCCCCACCCGGTGCGCGCGGACGCAGTTTATCCCGTGCAGCGAGGCGAGGCAGGAGATCGGCGGGCAGCTAGTCGGGCCTGGCGGAGCGGCCCGTACTCCGCGCTCTATTGGCCGGGCCTGGACAGGCGAAAGGCCGGCGCGGGCTCCGGGAGCTCCCGGCATCCCTCGGGCGGCGGCGGCGGCGGCGAGGCGAGGCGAGACCAGGCGGAGGACCGTGAGCGGTGGGGCCGGTGGCGGGTAGAGGTGTGAGGGCGGCGAGGGACCTCAGGGGTAGTCGGGCCGGTGTGGCCGCCGCCGCCGCCATGCAGGAAATCATCGCCAGCGTGGACCACATCAAGTTCGACTTGGAGATCGCAGTGGAGCAGCAGCTCGGGGCACAGCCGCTGCCCTTCCCCGGCATGGACAGTGAGCGCGGGGCCGGGGCTGCGGGCTAGGGGCGCGACCGACTCTGCCCCGGGACCCCTCTCCCTCGGTTCCGGGGCCTGCTCCCCATCGGGCCTGGGACTCTTTTCCTCCCCATTCTGGGACCCCCTTCAGGCTCGGGAGCCCCCCTTTCTTGGATCTTTGATCCCCTGGGGCTGTCCCAATACAACCTTCAGGAGGGCAGAACCATGTCTGGCTGTTCAAATAATTCTTGAATGAAAGCGAGTGTCCTGGATTGGAAATTACTTCGCTCCCCCAAATAAAGGAAAATAATTAGATATCCACCTTTTCCACTTGCTCCCCACTTTCAGCACCCTCTTCTTGCTTTCATCAGTACTGGGCGGTTGGAGGAGTCTTGCTGGAGGAAGGACCACCTGTCCCTCTTTGTAGGAGATTCCCAATTAGACACTCAAGCTCCATTCTTCTGAGACTTGCCCCCCTGGGAGCCTATCCCTCACTTTTTCTCTGGACCCCAACTCTATGTCATTCATCACAGCTGGGCAGCTGCCTGAGCTCCCTTCCTTCTCCACCTTCAGATGGTAGCTCCTGGCTCCCCCACCCCCCAACTTAGGTGGATGTCTCGCACTTTATTTTTATTTATTTATTTTCTAAAGTAGGCTCCACGTCCAGCACGGAGCCTGATGCCGGCTTGAACTCACAATCTTGAGATCAAGACTTGGACACTTAACTGACCGAGCCACCCAAGTGGTGCTCCCATGTCTAGCACTTTTTTAAAAAAACCCAGCAGTTTTCTTGTTTCCTTTCTGGACACACTTGGAATCTGATGTTGTAACATTAAAGCCTAGAGGTCATTACGTTCAATCCACAGATGGGGCAACTGAGGGCTGGGAGGGGTAAGGGACTTGTGGAAGACCACTTGGTCTATGGCCATTCAGTACCTAGTAAAACCAGGTGAGCTCTCCAGTGTTCTTGACTGGTTCGGTCTGCGGTTCCCTATGTTGTGTTTTATGACTGCCAGAGATCCATGTTCTCCTACCAGTCCGTGGCCTGGAAGAGCCCCCTGTAGCCTCATTCCCCTCAAGTGGCCACACTTCTCATGCACAGTCTTAGCCCTCTGGACCATCCCATGTCCGAACTGGGGGTAATTAACTTCTGTGATCTTATGCCCTAACCTTTCCACAGCCACTTGAAAGCATCTTGCTTATAGGAGGTTCTCAGAATAACTGGTCCCAGCATATGTGTCTCATGTTGCAGGGAATGGCTAAAATGAGCAGCTTTTTTCTGGCTTGGTCTGGCTTTGCATTTTTTTGCCAGAACGTTTCCTGTACCCTTTGTGGTTAAAGGCAAGAAGGGTCCCCTCCCTGTGTTTTCAGCTGTCCCTAGTCACACCTCACTTTGTTTGATGTCTCTGTTTTCCTTTCTGCAGAGTCAGGGGCTGCTGTCTGCGAATTCTTTTTGAAAGCTGCCTGTGGCAAAGGTAAGAAATCACTGGCTCCCCGACATTCCTCCTGAGGTGCTTTCCACCACCCAGCCTTCAAGCAGACTTATAGGCTGTCAGGTCTGGTTTGCTGCAGACTAACAGTGTCCCTAGATGAAATCACTGTGCTTTGGATAGGCTAGGAACACTATGGGGTATTTTGTCTGAAATTTAAAACACAGGATGGACCCTCACTCTGAGTCTGCCTTCTCACCTCACTTTCCCTGTGGCCACGAGCTGACCTGTGACATGGGCAGAAGGTGTGAGTATTGAGGTGTTCAGGCACTTTTTCAAGATTACAGAGTTAGTGAGTGGCTGAGCCAGTGTCTGAACCCAAGCCTTTCTGATTCTACAGTCTGCACAAGCTCACTGTCCTCTGTATCCTCTCATGAAAAACCCCTACAATAGTCTGTCCTGTGGAGCTTTGTTCATACTAACCAGGCTCCAACAGAGGCTGCTGGAACCAGACCATCCATTGATTCATAAGGAGACAGATTGCAGGTGAGACCTTACATGCCATGTATAGGTCTGGGCATTTTTCTTCCTGTAGGCAAATTTATTTGGAAACTAAATTTTTTTTTTTTTTTTTAACGTTTATTTATTTTTAAGACAGAGAGAGATAGAGCATCCGACTTTGGCTCAGGGCATGATCTCGCAGTCCATGGGTTCAAGCCCCACGTTGGGCTCTGTGCTGACAGCTCAGAGCCTTGAGCCTGCTTCGGATTCTGTGTCTCCCTCTCTCTCTGATCCTCCCCCATTCATGCTCTGTCTCTCTCTGTCTCAAAAATAAATAAACATTAAAAAAATTTTTTTTAAAGAAAAAAAAAAGAAGAGTTTCCAAAAAATAAATGAAATAAGTTTCCAAAAATAATAATAATAATAAAATGAAATGAAATAAAAATAAATACGAGTTTCCAAGGGTGCAGCTCTGTCCCATCTGGGTGGCTGGTCGCTCAGTTCCTGCCACAGAAGGCCAGTTTGTATACAGAGCATTTCTTCAATTCTGAAGTTGATTTTCTTTCCTAATTCTTGGAGGCTAAGTGGGCATTTATAACTAGAGGTGGAGCCCACTTGGGGTCCAGGCTTCTGCTGGTATCCTCTTTACCTTCTGTTTCTTAGAGCCATGTTTCCCAAACCCCAATCTTTTTTTTTTTTTTAACTACCCCTACAATTTTTGCTATGTCTGTGTATCACTAAAGCTATTCTTTAATTAACAAATAAGCTTATTTCCCCACCACCCGAAGGCTTATTAAGTTTCCATCTTACTGCAGCCAATTAAGCCGACTGTGCTCTTTTCCATGGGGCCCGGTGTGATGTGCCTGCAAACAGCAGCCTCCTTGGTGGTCTATACAGCCTGTTGATTGTATGGGTTGCCCTAAGGGACCTCGGAGACAGCTTTTTCTGGTGGACATTGAAGTTTGGCCTCACGCTTTCTCCAGTCTAGGCTCCAGACAGGCATGCAGGGTACCTTTGGAAAGCCCCAGGGCACAGTGGCCAGGGTCTGCATTGGCCAAGTCATCATGTCCATCCGTACCAAGTTGCAGAACAAAGAGCATGTGATTGAGGCCCTACGCAAGGCCAAGTTCAAGTTCCCTGGCCACCAGAAGATACACATTTCCAAGAAGTGGGGCTTTACTAAGTTTAATGCAGACGAATTTGAAGACATGGTGGCAGAAAAGCAGCTCATCCCAGATGGCTATGGGGTCAAATACATCCCTAATCGTGGCCCCTTGGACAAATGGTGGGCTCTGCACTCATGAGAATCTCAGCACTACTCCTCCCTATTTATGCCCACCAATAAATCCTGCTTTCTATCTTAAAAAAAAAAAAGTTTCCATCTTACAGTAATATCTGTGAAAGCATGGTTTGATGTTTTAGTTAGGTTTTTCCAAAACACATAGAAAATATAGAAGTACTAAAACTTAGACGTGTGCCCATGTACTGCCTTCTGCCAGGGGCAACCACCGCCGCCCAGGACATGTTGCTCCCAGATACTGCAGGGAAATGTGGGGTGAAGGCGCCGCCCTCCTCACAGTGCGCTTTCTTTCTTGGCAGGGGGCATGTGCCCATTCCGCCATATCAGTGGCGAGAAGACGGTTGTGTGTAAACACTGGCTGCGGGGGCTGTGCAAGAAGGGGGACCAGTGCGAGTTCCTGCACGAGTACGACATGACCAAGATGCCTGAGTGCTACTTCTACTCCAAGTTCGGTAAGCAGATGGCCCGGCCCCTCTCTGTACTCGGACATCCAGGCTCAGGAGCTCTGAAGAGGCACCCAGAACGGAGACCCAGAGGGGATAAACAGCTGCTCAGGTGCCCATGGTGTCTGCTAACTCCCATCTTTACAGCTTCACATGAGAACCTCACGCAGTGTCTGCCAACCTCAGCTGGCCCTCTAGTTTCAAGTTCTTTGGAAGCTGAGGCAACTGAGGGTCCCATGGTGGGTGCAGCTGGCGGGAGGCCTTGTTTCTGCTCACTTTGACCTTTTCCCTCATATCGGCTGCTGCTTCCAGACTGGCGACTCCTTGCCCCCCAGGTCTGAGCTGGTTCCTTCTGTCTGGGAGTACGATCCCAGGTATTACTTTGACTGTCCTAAACAGGGGGCTGTCTTGTGGTGGCCAAGACCTCCACTCCTCACCTTGAGGTTGCCTTGCTCGCTGTGTAGAGAACATGTGCCCTTGGCTGTCCTGAGGACTGCATGGAGAAGCGGGGGCAGAGGGGGCTGCTCAGCAGAGCTCTTATGCTCCCTGATGGAACTAGAATCCACCGCTCTCTGTTGTGGGTGGAGGTTGCCCAGGAAGGAGCCCTGTTGGTCAGGATGAGGATGGGCTCTGGTCCTGGGACCGCTGGCCTTGTGCAGGGGCTCAGCGGGGGACTGGAAGCCTGCTATACTTTGCGGTGGGCTGGGGGTGCTGGGGAGCACTGGACATGCAGCACACTTTCAAAGCACTGTCATCAGGAGACATTAATTATTCCAGCAGCCCGACAGGCATGCCCTGCTGGTTTATTATGATAGTTGTGGCTTTTTTTGTAGAGGTAGCATAAGCTGTGAAGTCAATGCACAGATAGTCAGTTCTGCATGTACCGCCCCCCCGGCACCCCCCCCCCCCCCCCCCGCCACCACCAAACCAGCACTGGAACCAGCACTGGAAGGGGGGTGTCCCCTTTTCATGGAAGCCATCACCCATCTGGACCCAAAGGCAGGAGACAGCCCTCCTGGAAGACTCTTAAGAGCACCCCTGAAGGCTGGCCTGGGTTCCTTCATTCCTGCCGGGCCTGGCAACCTCCCCACTGCCTCTGATGCTTCCCTGCCTGCCCTTTCCCCACAGAGCTCGCCCCGGTGCACATGTACCATGCAGCTTCTGTTACCTGTGACACAAGTGAGGGTCCTCTTTCAGCACTGGAGTGTCGGTAGTAAACAGGAGAGACCCATTTCTCGTCCCGCGGTTCTTTTGTTCTGGTGGCCCAGGGAAAGAGGCAGCTGACAGCAGTGAGACAAAGTTGAAGATGATATGCATGGGGCACCTGGGTGGCTCAGTCGGTTAAGCATCAGGCTTCAGCTCAGGTCATGATCTCATCGTTAGTGAGTTTGAGCTCCACATCGGGCTCTGTGCTGCCAGCTCAGAGCCTGGAACCTGCTTCACATTCTGTGTCTCCCCCTCTCTCTGCCCCTCCCCTGCTTGCACTCTGTTTCTCTCTGTCTCTCAGCAATAAATAAATGTTAAAAAAAAAAATTAAAAAATAAAAGAAAATGATATGCAAGGGGCGCCTGGTGGCTCAGTCAGTTGAGTGTCCGAATTCAGCTCAGGTCGTGATGTCACGGTCCATGAGTTCAAGCCTTGCGTCAGGCTGTGTGTTGATAGCTCTGAGCCTGGAGCCTACTTCTGATTCTGTGTCTCCCTCTCTGCCCCTCCTCCACTCACACTCTGTCTCTCTCACTCTTAAGAATGAATAAACGTTAAAAAAAGAAAAGAAAAGAAAATGACATGCAATAAGCACTCTAAAGTAAATAAACAGCAATGGGACCACATGAGGACCATATTTTCCTTTAGGCTAAGTGGTCAAGGAAGGTCTTTCTCAGGAGGGGAGACCTGAGCTGGGATCTGAAGGCTAAGAAGGGGCCGGTCACGTGGGGCGGGGGGCAATGTGGCTGGGGGTGGAGGAGCCTGGGGAGGAGTAGGCTAGACCACATAGAGGCTTGCGGGTCTGGAAAGGGATTTGCGTGTTCTCTGGCCACCAGTGATCAGATTGTCCTTCCGTGTGTCACATGGATCGGGGAGGGCAAGCGCAGAGGGGGTGGATCCCGTAGTTGGGTGAACAATGCCACTGGCCAGCTGGTCCAGTTGCTCCTAAGAGGAGCTGTCATCATAAAGGCTTTATCACATTCTGCCACAGGACTTCAGCCTTGAGTTCCCAAATCTTCCCTGTTTGTTCTGAAAGGTGGAATCCTCAGACCTTTCGCCTGTCCTGGCTAGTAGATGTGAAGGGCTCACCAGGGTAGGCCAATTATTTCCTGCTCTCAGTTGGTGCCTTTGCATACTTGGGCCCCTGCCCAGTGTCCAGAATACCCCCTTTGGGTAAGAGAGCCATGAGGTGGGTCTGGGTCTGGCTGTCCCGGAGCTGCCCCAGGTGGACGCACGTCTGGCTTTCCCTGCAGGGGAGTGCAGCAACAAGGAGTGCCCCTTCCTGCACATCGACCCTGAGTCCAAGATCAAGGACTGCCCTTGGTACGACCGTGGCTTCTGCAAGCATGGTAGGTGTCAGGGTGGCTGGGCCCCCAGCAAGACGCTGGTCCTCACTTCCTGTCCCCACATGACCCTCTACCTGTCCCAGCAAAATCTGGTGTTAGGCATCTGGGGCTAGTGAGGCTTTTTTACACCCTCAGCTCGCCCGAGCCTCCCAAAGCTCCTGTGTGGACTGCACTCTCACCTAGATTTTCGGTAAGGAAACTATCGGTTTAGAGGTTGTGTGCCCTGCCTGCTGTCCCTTGTGAATGGATATGAGACAGAGCCAGCATCTAAAGCCCTGCTCTTGCTCTCTGCACCCCAGGCAGTGGTGTAGGCAGGGTTCTGACTGGCACAGGGGCACGAGGCCATCCCCCGAAGAGGGGAGTCTGAGTGACCCAGACGCTTGGCTCCACAGGTCCCCTGTGCAGGCACCGGCACACACGGAGAGTCATCTGTGTGAATTACCTCGTGGGATTCTGCCCAGAGGGGCCCTCGTGTAAATTCATGCAGTGAGTAGCCAGACCCTGTTCCCCTACCCCACTCCTGCCCCAGGCCCTGCTGCCCTCTAGATCTTTCCTGGGTCCAGCTGGGCTTTGATCATTAGGTGGTGTCCCCACAGGACCTGGGGCAGGGGTCACTGCTGCTCCCTGAGCTCAGAGGTGGCTCTGCCTAGCCCAACACTTAACCTTTCCTGGGTCATAGATCTGATGAAAGCTGGGCTGCGTGCATGAGAAAAGCTCATGCCTTGTAAGGGACCTCTGGTTAAGAACCTGAGCCCTAAAGGAAGGAGACTGCAGTTTGGGGGCCTCTGTGGAGTCAGAGCTTGGGATTCCACATATACTAGTTTGTATAACTCTCAAGTGTGTGTGAGAGAGGATGACCCCATTTCGCGCGTGGGAACACTGAGGCTCAGAGCTTAGCCACTGGCCTCGGTCACATGGTGGTAGGGTTGGCACCTGGTCTGAGGCAGGTCCGTAGCCTCTAAAGCGGGGTTCACCTTGCCCAGCAGGGCTCAGAGCTCCTCTCCTGGGCCTTAGTGCACATCTGTCACTTTGGGTGGTTGTGGAGTCGGACTTCTCCCTGGGGTGGCGCTGGGACCGCAAAGTAGTGTCGTTCCCCTCCACCCCCCACCCTGGGCTGCTTCTGTCCATCCCACAGACACCTGCACAGAAGCATGGTATCCTGGTCACTGCCACCCAGTGGGCAGGTGGCAGGTGCTGCAGACTTGGCGCTGCTTTCTGGATGAGAGCCAGGAGCCTGCAGGGGGCCCAGGGATTCCTGCTTGCGGGGCGGCCGAGGTGTCCCTCAGGATTGTGTCTTGTCGGAGGTGGTCTGGCACCTGAGTTAGAAGTGGATGTGGCGGGGGGGGGGGGGGGGGCAGGTCCCATGAACAAAAAGCCCTCCGGAGGCAGCACTTTGTGAAGGTCCCCAAGCTAGATGTGGGCAGAGCTGCCCAGGCAAGTCAGTTCTTTTCACCCCTGTCCCCCGGAGGCTTCAGGGGCGGAGCTGAGAGCCGGCACCCTCCCCACGTCTGGGTGAGTTGCTCTGTGCTTGGGCAGAGGCTGCCTGTGATCTCCCGGGAATACCTCCTGGCATGGCCCCTCTCTCATCCCCCTTCTCCTCTTCTTCTCATCCCCTCTGGCTGCGGGGTGACCAGCCCTCGATTTGAACTGCCGATGGGAACCACCGAGCAGCCCCCACTGCCACAGCAGACGCAGCCTCCGACAAAGGTACTGTGCCCCTGCCCCTCCCTGGCCCCGTAGTGCCTCCGGCCCCCACACTGCCTGCCCTGGTGCACGGTCCGCCACAGCCCCGGCTGGTGATGTGTGAGAAGGCAGTGAGGAGGTGGGACAGGAGGGGAGTCACCCTGAGTTCCAGCAGAAAATTCAGGGAGCAGAATGGTTTGCATCTCCCTGTGGAGGTGGAGGGCTCTCTGCTCTGTCTGCTAGAGCCGAATGCCCACTTGGCTTCTCGCCCCTTCTTGCCTGGCGAGTGCCTCAGTGGCGCCTCACCCCCCACCCCCACTCCCAGGGGCCAGAGCGGAGGGCAGCGCGAGCGCCGTGGGTCTGCTGCGCTTGCTTCTGGTTCCAGCCCTTCGTGTTTCAAACAGGGAAACAAACTAGAGGGAGGGCCTCGTCTGAGGTCCCGCAGCTGGGCAGGAGCAGCTGGGGAGCAGAACTGAGGCTGACTGGTTCTCCTGCCAGTACCCTTAGCGCTCTGAGTGGAGGTTCCTAGCAGGACAGGCTGGGAACAGAGCTGAAGGACCAGCTGGCTTCACTTTTCTAGACAAGGGGGTCCCACAACCCAGCAATGGGCTGATCCCCTCAAGCATGAGGAGAGGGAGAGATGCCATAGACAAGTGGGAATCTGCAGCAGCAACCCCCGAAACCAAGGGCACCCGGGAGTCAAGGGTTGGGGGCCCAGAAGAAGGGCTGGCCAGGTGCACTAAGCAGGGTCTCAACAGGCTGAGTAAACCCGCCTACTGATCTTGAATCCTTACCTGTTACCTGGCTGGACTCTGACCCCATTGCCAAAGCCCTGCTCATCCTTCATTGCTACAGGCTGAGCAGCTGGTAGGGGGCATGCCCCCCCGCCCCTGGCCCCACTGCACTGACCCCCACCCTCAGGAGGCTGTGGGACGACTCAGAACTCCTCGCAAAGCCAGGAACTGGGTGTGGGTACAGCCATGACAACCTGGGGCTTTCTAGCTCAGTGCTCCTATATTTGCGGAGGCCAGGCCGGGACCCCTCTTGGTTAGGAGGTGGCCTAGCTATCCGGCCCGAGCCCCGAGCCCCCCGTCCCCCTTGCTCACATGACTCCCTAGTGGAGGGCCCTCTCAGCCCCTAGACCGCAGGTCAGCACGTCAGCCTCCAACTGTTTTTCTGTGACTGTTGCTCGCCGTGTAGGCTGCTAAACATCTGGCTGAACCAAGCGTTCATCCTGACCTGAAGCTAGAACCTCAGAAACAAAAGTAAGGCCTGCTCATGCCCTCGCCCTGCTGCCCCAGAGACCTCCTCGTCTCTTTGGTGTTTTGTTTTCTACTTTTATTTTTCGTTTTTGTGTGTCTGCATGGTGTTTTTCGGGCAGCGGCTCCTGCCATCATCACCAGATGTTTCTTTTCTGGCTGCTCTCCTGAGCAGGGCCACCGCGGAAGCCCTTCTTCCTGCTGGTCATGCGGGAGCAGTCCCGCCCTCTTTTTTCCTGTCCCCGTTGGTAGTCTGCGTGCACGTGTTTTCCGCAGTAAAACCGTGTTGTGTAACTCTTTCCAGCAAAGTAACAATCCGCCATTACAAAGGTCGTCCTCCTTGATCCAGTTAACGAGTCAGAACTCTTCTCCCAATCAGCAGAGAGCCCCGCAGGTCATCGGGGTCATGCAGAGTCAAAACAGCAGCGCAGGCAACCGGGGACCCCGGCCACTGGAGCAGGTCACCTGTTACAAGGTGAGTCCTGGGGCTGGGGGATGGGGCAGGGTCTTCACAGTCAGGGGCTGTTCCCTCATTCCCCAGACAGTTAATTTTGAAAAATGAAAACATCTATGTTTTTGCTGACCATAAAAGTGACAATGGGCTGCTCTGGTGGGCTAGAGACCATGCTGCTTCCTTCCACAACACACCAGGGCCAACAGAACGATCACACATGCTGTTGAATGCAAGGACAGAGTTTGAAGGAAAGGGAGGGGAATCTTCCAGAGGCCAGTAACAAAGTGGAAGCATGGGTTAAGGGAAGGGAGTAAGCCCTGAAGCTTCTGGATGTCCTTACATCCACAAGGGCGCATACCCGAATGAGAGGGACAGCTTTACCACCCAGGAAAAAAACAGACTAGAATCCCCCTGAACAGAGTGGGATGCTCAGGGGAAGGGTAAACTTTTAAAAGTCCTGTTAGAAAACTTGTGTTGTTCTTGGCTCTGGATGGAAAGGGGGGAGAAAAGTGCCTTGAGACTTCATAGTCACCAATGGTCCCTTCGTGAGTTTTGGAGCTGTATGCACACCCTTGGTGAAGGCTATACAGACTTGAATTTTCTAATCGGAAACAGCCCCAAATGTGGGCCCCTGGAATCTGGCTCTATGAGGAATTTATTCTCAGCCCAACCACACAGAATTCCCACAGCTAAAGTTCCGAAGAATGAGTTCATAATCAAAAATCACAAAACCTAGAAGGAAGCAAACCCCACTGAGGGAAGTCAGCAGAAACAACTGATAGTAGAACTAGGCTTACAAAAACTTCAGATTTCAGTATTTTACAAAATACAGAATTAGTACACGCTTTCTGTAAAAACATTTAGAGGACAGATATGTTACAGGTACACAGTGTTATCTCTATTCCCACCTTTCCTAAAACAGCCACTTGACTTAGTGTGCTGTGTTGTCATGATTTTTGGTTTTGGTGTTCCTTCAGGCCCCATGGGGGACCCCACTTAGAGAACGGCTGTGCCAAACTTACTCACATAAGCACAATGAAAGTACATTTTAATGTACATAGGGCCCTAGTATGTATAACTTTCTATAGTCTCTTTTTCTTAATACTATGTTGTGGATTGAACTACGTCAACATATGTGAATGTAATCTGTTTCACTGGCTGTGTAATATAACTGCAATTTACTTTCCCAGTTCTCTGTGGATAGCAGTTTATAGTTGTTGTTACTAAAAACCATGCTGAATCTGACACTTAGACCTCTGTGAGCTCTAGTCTGATAGCAGCATCCATACCTACAAGTAGAAGGTCCGAGTCAAGGGGCATACGCTTAGCTTAAATTGTTCCTAGAACTTTCTCTCAAGAAAGGCTGAGCCACTTCCCACAGCCATCACTCACTCACTGAGCACCTGCCCTGGGCCAGCTCTACTGAGAGAACCAAGACTGTTATTGCTGTTACCCAGGAGGGGTTTGTGTTTTGCAAGGAGGGGAAGGCAGGTGCCCCCCAAGCACCCCCAGGTGCTTTAACTAAAGTTAAATGTGCACTTGGGTTCACAGAATGCCTCAGAGATTTCTGAGCCTGAGCCCTCCCAGGTGAGGAGAGAACAGACAGCTTCTGGCCAGTCATTCGTCAAGTACGAGGAAACAGAGGCATTGTAGCTGTTCTCTGGACACCCCTCGCCCCCACCCTCCCCCAGGACTCTGCAGCGAGGCCTTTGAAGCCAGCTCTCCCAAGTCCTGGAACTTACAAAGGTGTAGCCAGAACTCAACAACCTCTTCTCAGGTCAGGCCCTTCATAGTTGATATTCAAGACACCTTGTAGGAATCCTGGGTTCTCCAGGGCCAGCTGTGGAAGCTGACAGACATGCCAGGTGCTGTGAGCAGGGTCCCAGTGAGCCCTTCCCTCTGGTGATCTCCCACAGACCACTCATCCAAAGTCACACATACATATCAGACAGCCTTGGAAAACGCAGGCACTGTGGGGTCAGGGGGATAGAGCAGACGAGAGATCTGGGCATTCCAGGGTGAGGAAGCTGGGGTTGGGAAGGCACTAGGTACATTAGTGCAGGGTGAGTGCTCCTACCTGTCTCCTGACCCTTGTCCCGTGCTTGAGGCTGCCATCCACTACCTTTTAGTTCCTTTCTTTTTGGGGAGTGAAAAGAATGAATGAAGAGAAGCTAAGGCAGGGCCTGGAAAATCAGAACTGGGACAGGTCAGAGTCTGCTAGATTTTTCAAGTGATTTTCTGGGTCTGTTCATCCAATTCTAACCATTGTCCCATCTCTCTGATCCTGTAACCAAAACTTGCCCCGGGGGGGTAGCTTAGGCAAAGGTGCAAGAGGCAGGCAGGAAAACTGTGGGTGCAGCCCACCCTCCGTGTCCATGCCAATGACTCCCCGAGTTGGGGAAGGAGCCTTGTGGCTTCTCTCACCTTGTTGCCTCCCGTCTTCAGACAGTGCCTCAGAAAGGTAAGTGACTGGCCAGCCTTCCAGAGGGGCTTGGTCCCCAGGCAGGTGGGGGAGCTCGATTCCCATGGGATTCTCCTCATCCTGCCACCCACGACAGACCTTCCATGGATAGGTCCCATGTTTGACGTGGGCCCAGCCTGCAGAAACCCCCGCTGTGTGCTCTCAGGTCACCCTCTGGCTGTGCAGCCCCCTTCCATCTGCCGAGTTCCTGGAGTTTCTGCAGTTTCTGTGATACCTTTGGAGTTTCTTCGTTGTGTCTGAATGAAAGTCTGGATGACTGAGAATTTTGGAGTCCCCATACCGAACCTGGTATTTAGCAGGTGCTACCTTACCTGAAAATTGCATTTGAAAACGGTGTTGTTTTTTTGTCTCCTCCCTCCCTCCCTGCTGTTCCCAGTGTGGCGAGAAAGGACACTACGCCAACAGATGCACCAAAGGCCACTTGGCCTTTCTCAGTGGACAGTGACAGCAGCTGGAGCCAGCTCAGAGCAGCCCAAGGGTCCCCACTCACGGGGACCACCCTGGGCCATCCTTGGGAGCGTGCACTTAACTGTTTAACGCCAGTGTTGGTGCAACTCTGGCTGGAGCAGGCAGGCAAGCATGCCAGGGTTCATCATTCTGAGGGGCTACGTCTGACAGTTTCCCTATTATTTGCTGTAAACTTTTTTAAAAGGGGACAAGTGCTCCAGTTTGGTCAGGTCGGCATCATGTCTGTCTAGGCATGGACACCTGTCCGCAATTCCCTGCACACCGCCCTCTGGGGAGGGGAGGAAGCGGTGGGGAAGGGCTCCTGCCAAGCAGTCTGTAGGGAAGGCAGCCCTTCCCCTCGAGGCCTCATTAAACACCAGTTCTTGGTGACCCCAGGGGCTGTTGGATCATTTAAAGCTGGTCATGCCTGCTTCCTCCACATCCTGCTGAATTCAGAACCTGTGCCTGTCCGTGTGACTTGAATGAGGCGGCCCCTTGGGGCAAACTTAAGTGCACTCCTTGTCTCTATGACTGGGCCCTGCTCCGAGGTGGCAGTGGTTGAGAGGAAGGGCACAGGGCTCTCAAGTGTGAGGGACTTTTTGTTCTGGGCTCATTTCCTTGGAGTGCCTCCTTATCAGTGGCATGGCTGAAGGTATGCCTTAAGCTGGAGCTGCAGACCACCCAGTAAATCGATGACACAGTCTATCTGTGCACCTACCTCCTGCCCCTGAACCTGGAAATGTGAGACTGTCACCTGCAGCCTGCTGGGCAAGTGGGCCTGTTCAAGTTCAGTTACAAGAACAATTTTTATGAGATCGATTAAAGCTTGTTTTTTACGCTGCGTCTGGTTACTTCAGGGACCCACACCAAGGAGAGGACTCTTGCTCCTGGCTGCGCTCAATGCCTGGCACAAAGCTTCCATACCAGAGTTTGCTTGTCCCCTTTCAACAAACGTGAACCTGCTGGAAGGAAGGAAGGGCCTCTGTACTGGCAGCTGAAGTCTGGAAGCTCAGCCTCTGGAACAGCCACATAGTAGGTCTCCTTCATTTCAGATGCTGGATGATACTTGCTTATTCAAATTTGGATCTTCTAGGAGATAATTAGCTGCAGCATCTCACCCCTTAGACTCCATGCCGTATGCGTGCTTACCACACACCTCTTGAGAGGCCAATTCTGGCCCTCATATCACTTTACCGAAGACCTTTTTTTCTTAAGTGTTTATTATTTTTGAGGGGAGTAGAGGGGGGAGACAGAGGATCTGAAACAAGCTCTGTGCTGACAGCACAGCGCCTGATGCAGGCCTTGAACTCACAAACTGTGAGGTTATAACCTGAGCTGAAGTCAGATGCTAAACCAACTGACCCACCCAGGCACCCCTACTGAAGACCTTTGATGAAGGGTAAGGATGAAGGTGCTGGAAATGGGCAGCTGTGAGCTTCTGTCAGGGCCTGTGTTTTCCCTCGCTCCCCTGAGTCATCCCACTGGACTTCCTACAGGTTCTGTGGCCTGAGAAATGCAGAAAGGTTGGGGAGGGGAAGGCATTCTTAAGAACTCCGGGCACCAGTTCCCCAGTTCCTAGATGTAAAACCATCAGCCGACAAGAGGCCAGAAGTATGCAACATTCAAGGCAAAGAGCAGGGAAACCCCTCTGGGCACTTGACAGGTTTAACTAGATGACACCCCCACCTACAGTAAGCTGGGATGAGACCCCAAAGCAGTGGTAGGAAGCCCCCCGTGGATTCAAAGCGCTGGGCATTCCACAAGAACCCCAGCTCTTAGAGCTCTTAGAGGGCAGGGAAATGGCTCGACCAGGGAAGCAGTCTGAGTATCAGTCATCTTTTATTGGACATTAATTCTGAATTAGGATATGAAAGGATTCAAAGGTCACGGTCAGGAATGCCGAATGTGCCTCCATACTGGGCCCTCTTCAGTGGTACTTGCGTAGCCGCTCATGTTCTGAAGTTAGAAAGGCAAGGTGGTAAGTTTCAGGTAAGGTATAGCGAAAGCACAAGACAACAGGAGGGCTTGCGGCTAAATTCACATAAAAGCGTCCTGAGAACTCCTTTCGGGAGACAACCCGGAACCTGCCTGCCAGCATCTGGGCAGAATCCACAGACCTGGAGGTACCAAGGCATCTCGAGCTAATCCGCTGCCTGGCCAGCCTCTTCCTTCCCAAAAGGAACACACACTCAAAAGCCCCCAAGATTCTGGCCTTCAGAGCTAGCATCAGCTGGATTTCACAGACTGGCAAGGGGCCAGACACTGTAAGAAACCGCCCATGAAACCCAGTCCGTGGCTGCCATTGGAGCTGTTTGGGCATCTCCCACCACAGGAGATCCTCTCTGGTCTTAGAACCAGGAAAAGCCACCCTCTTCCAGAGCACTGAACAGACCCTGGATTGTACCACTCAACCTGTTTCTCTCTTCGCGCTGGCTGCTGGGAAGATGAAGCTCCGCGGAGCCCTGCGGAACCTTAGAGAACGCTTCCCAAGTGTTACTTTTATCCCAGCTTCATGTCACTTTTTCCTGTATTTTCTCTTTGCCACAACTTTCTCACTTAAAATAACATCCTACATTCTGTATTCTAACAAGTCCCTCCCAATCTTTCAATTGTCAGTAGAATGATGTACTTGTAAACCTGACCGCAAACCAATACCACCCTGATGAGAGAAACCCCACTGAAGGGAAGGCAATCTGAGAGACACTCACTGAGTTCCTTGTAACACCGACAATAGTTGAAAAGCACATAAGCTGCCAGCACCATAGAAATTCCAGCAACGCTCCCTTTCTTCACATTGACATACTTGTTGTAATACCGGTAGTAACCTGCAAACAGGAGAGGAGGGCACTTTTTGCTTTGCTGTGAATGAGGCACATGCTGCAAAGTGGAGGCTGGCTTAAATTCAGGGATCCAGTCCTGCTGTGGCTCTTGAAGCCACTCACCCCCTAAGTTCACCGGCTGATAAAGGGAAGAGCACAAGTGCCCCATGGGTTTTGCCCCAGGAGCCCAGGACAAGACCCCACTAGGCAGGCCCACCTTGATTCTGCCCCTGTGCTCTCTGGCTCAGCCTGTTAGCCTTTGATCCTACCTCACCCTCACCTCCAGCCCTGTGCGATCTTCTTACCCTAATTCTGACCCAAAATCCAACCCCAGTAAGGGCCACTTAGCTGTGGCCAGCTGGGTCAGCCTATCAGGGAAGAGGAAGGCTTTGTGTGATCATCTCTTTCCTGGGTACCCCCACCAGTGAGGAAAGTTTCTGCCCTCTGGGCTCATGGGTTAGTTGACAAAAAAGAATGAAGTCATCCTAGAAGGCCCTAGTTTACAACTGTGAGGGAAGCTGTGAAGGAGCAGTACAGGGAGCTGTGGGCATGAACAGGCCACATTCACTCAGGCTGAGGAGTCAGGGACTGTCGTAAACTAAGTATGGGGAAAAGGCAGAGTATTCTAATCTGGGTTCAGGAAGGGCCTCAGGGCAGAAGGAAACATGGCACACAAGAGCCAGCTTACAGGGTGGCCAGAACTGGAAAGAAAAATGGAAGGAAGGTTTCCCCACCCCACCCCCACCACACACACACCCAGGAAGCTGGAGACCACACAGGTCCCCGTGGGGTGATGTGGGTGTCTAATTCTTGGAATGAGGACACTGGTTCCACAGGACTAATTCTGATCATGCACAGCCCGGAAGCATAGATGATTTCAAACATTCGTCCTGGAAGTTTGTTGCCTGGCAGAGATACGAGCATTACATTACAGACTGATGGCTACCATGCTTCAAACTCAATTTCCTCTTTAAGGAAAATCTTACGATGTAAAAATGCTCACAGACATATTTAAGACAAAGGCAGTGGTACTGATTCCAAGCAGCAGAAAACATTTTCTTGGCTGAATTCTCTTAGAGCCAGACTCTGATAGGACCAGTCACGGAGATCCAGGGGCTAACCACTCATCTCTGTCCTCCTCTCCATAACTTATCAGGCTGAGCTCAGGGCAAAAAGAGACCTGGGCATTTGCTTTTGTTTACACATGTCCATAGGCTCTGACCTCTTTGAAATGCACCAGCAATGCCTCTAGGGGTGAAATCTCGCATCAGTATCCAGCCTGGCAGCTCTCCTAGCTTCACATCCATGAGCTTCTTCTCTTTCACTGGTACTAAAAAGGAAGAGTAGAAAGACACACTGAAAAATCTCCAGTGAGACAAACAGCATCCTTCTATGTCACTTATTTCAACCATTCAATAAGATCACTACAGAGAGGCTGCACACAGGTAATATTATGAGTAAATATATTATACCATATTCATTTTAAGTCAGAGTCTGTATAAAGCGACAGCTGTATTAATGAACAAGGTTCTGAAGAACAGTAACTATGTAAAAACAACCTATGGGCCATGAGGAAGAAAGTAAAGTGGAGGACCAAAAAACTGTTGCAAAACTAATATTTACATGTATCAGCTCACTGAATCTTCACAGCAGGTGGCTGATGCCTTTATTTTATAAGGGGTAGGGGAGACTGGCTCAGAGAAATTGGGTCAATTGGCCAAGGTCACACGGCATGCAGGGAGCTGAGGCAGTGCTCAACCTCAGGTCATCAAGACAATCCGATTTCTATTTCAAGAAACCAGCCTGGGACCACAGATGTCAAATGACTTAATACAAACCACTCCAAATCATCCACTGGGCCCCAGAAAATATTCCAATGAGAGTCTGGGGACAGAGATGACAAGGGCTCCTGGTTGAGGCCATACTGTACTCATCTCAGCTTAAGAGTAAAATAGGAGGGGGACGGGGGAAGACCACAGTGGAGGAGAACCGGGAATGTTCAGATGCTCATAAGAAGGCAATGGTCCGGGGCGCCTGGGTGGCTCAGTCGGTTAAGAGTCCGACTTCGGTTCAGGTCATGATCTCGATTCATGAGTTTGAGCTCCACGTCAGGCTCTGTGCTGACAGCTCAGAGCCTGGAGCCTGCCTCTGATTCTGTGTCTCCCTCTCTCTGTCCCTCCCCTACTCATGCTCTCTCTCTTTCTCAAAGAATAAATAAACATTAAAAAAAATTTTTTTTTAAGTAAGGGAATGGTCTCCCTTTCCATCCTCGCCATAGAGATCAACTTTAAAAAGCTGCTGAGCAGGTATCCTCTTCAGGGTAAGGAGTCAAAGACTACTGTCCTTTCTTAAAGATGACCGACCAGCGAAGGAGCCAGATTAAATCACTCAAAGGTTTCTTCTCCATTTTGGGAATCCAAGGAAAGACTAAAGTTCCTTCAGGAGTCCACTAAGGGGAATCCCACAGATCTCAATATCTCCCAACATTTAACAAGGGCAAGGATTGTTGGGTCATAAACAGAAATACAGGCTTAATGGCAGCTTCTAACTTGCTATAGGTCATCTGGAAAAGCAGACATTTGGCCCAGATGGACCAGATTGAGTGTTTGTCAATAAGCCACAGGTGACAAGTGGAGGCACAAGCCTATGACTTGCATACATAGCTTTAGGGTCATGGTTTAGACTGCCTGTCCCAAACAAACTGGCCCCAACCTTCCATCTAGACTCATCCAACAAATATGGAGCACCTACTGTATGTCAGGCAGCATGCTATGCACTGTGGGTACAGCACTGACTGCAGACAAGAGCGTTGCTCTCAGAAGCCAACATTCTATCGCCAGACAACCATTTCATCCATTCACCATACTTCAGTCAGACCCCTTTCTGCTTATTCACCTGAGGGCTTTGGTATGTGCAGTGCTCCCAAGCCACCACACGGCTATCTCAACTTAAATGCTATGTCCTAAAAGGCCTCCTTCCCCCCTCCTTATCTCAAGCACTAGCACTACCCTCCCATA